ACCAATGCACCCAAAATGACTTTTTCGGACCGGATTTTAAAAAAGTTATGAGTATTTTTATAAATCAAAAGTTTCTCTCACACACTAATGAGCCAAATCTCACTGCTTGTTCCAGGTTGTAATTGGATGATTGTGAAGGTTTATTGTTAGTACACTTATCAATACGGACTGTAAAAATATGGAAAAATATGGAGAGTGAAGCTCTCACCGCAGGGAACAAGATGCATATTTTTATTTATTTTTTGCCCTTCTCCTGGCCTCTCAATATTTTTGTGTATCAATAATTTAATTTTCTGCCCAGAAAATATTATCTTTCTTGTAGTGATAAAGAATCTCAAGGCTTTATTAATTGAAGGAACCCTAATGAGAACTATCACCAACGATTCAGCATCTTTATCTGCTGTCTTACAAAATAGTCCTTCTCTAGAGTCTTTTTCATTAAGATTGACTAACTTGGCACGCTTGAACTTAGCACCCGGGTCATTACCAAGCCTATCTCATCTCTGGATTACGTGCCATGAAAAAAACTTAGATGCAGTTAGTCACTTTTGTCGAAACAGTCATTGCAAAATCAAGCTCCTCGAATTTACACCTTCACATCGTCCTCAGAACTCTGCAAAGTTAATCGTATCATTACACAAATCGCTAGAAGGATTGACAGTCAGGACAATTCCAGATGATCTCCCTCGTTCACTCCAAATGGACACCTTTCCAAAACTTTGAGTCGTACAATGCAGACATGTTAATACATTCCGCGACCGACCAATTTGGTTTGAATGGACACTTCTGCATACGATCGAAGTCTTCATTACGAACTACCACAGCAACAAAGCTTACTGGGAGGCCGTTTTAAACTCAGCTGGTGGACCTCATTTAAAAGAAGCCATCAATTTGAAAACCTTCATTCTCATAACGGGCGATGGTGACCCAATTAAGGACCCTGAGGTAGCCAAGGTGTTCGAAGCTCATGGTATAAGTTGCCATTTTAGATCAGAAATAAGCCACACTGACATATTGGTAAGTACGATTGAGTATATTTGAATTGATTATAAAGGAGTTAACTAACTTACTTCAACTCCGAACAGGCTTTTATGAAGAACTAGGTAAAATCAAAGGTTGTGGGCAGGGGAGTTTGGGTAATTCCTGTAAGCACGTAAATTTGCTCATGTACTAATTCGAGACATAAACTGACATAGAGTAATTCAAAAGACCAGGTAATAATAAATCTGCTTTAGCGCAAAGTTCGAATTGAATGAATAAAGATAGATATGAGCTATTCAATTTGTTTCAGCTATAGTTTTTTGGTATTTGTTAAATCAGTTCAGAATCAATAGAAGAGATGTTGTTAGTACTAAGTAGTAAAAGTTGTTGTATAACTTCCCAATTGTGTAGTAACCTTTAGTAATGAGTTCACTGATTTTTGAAGTAATAAAAAGTACCAGTGCAAGAGCATTGATGATGAGTAACAATACTAAAGATATTAAAACACTAAATCACAATAGCTTACACAATTCAAAGTTTTGTACACGGCTGAACAGCATAAATGTGAGCACAGTGCATACTAAGATTTGATCCACCTAAAAGTAGTTAATATTTTGAATCAACTAAGAGTTAAGAGTGCGGCGCCCGCCGCCCAATCTGGCTAGTGATCAATAAATCTGCACCTCTCAACCATATCTTTGACTGCAAGCCGTTGTTCATCTAAATTTATGCGCAATGTGATGAATGATCCATTGATGAGATATGTGGACCATGAATCATTACTGGTGTTAGACCAAAGACTGAGCTTTCTTGGTATCTTCACATCTCTTGGGTGACTTTGTTTCTTCAAAGAGCTTGGACGTCCACAGAGAAATCTTGAGTGATATTTCAGCTAGTTTCAGCTGCAACTCAAACTAAACATGCTCATACATTATATAGCTCTTTACTTTATCACAAAACTAACAATCATTTGGAGATGAACAGGCAAATAAATACCATTGGGCGCTTCAATCATGATGATTTTTACTGTATAATCGCTACAGAGAGTTGCTCAGGATCAAGGGATGTCCTTGTTGTGTATCTCACTAATCCAAAGGCCACACTGCGACGGCTTACCTCAATGAGGAGACTGTTTCATATGATCACTGAAGTGGAGTTTGACATGAATATGGTCTGAAAATCTACCCTATTCCCTTCACGATTTATATGTGGCTGGTCATAGGCCTCAAAGCAAGATTCGACCAATTCTCAATCTGATAGCTTTCCAAGACTACTCAAAACTGATAAATGTCTTCAATGCTGGATCGCAGCGCAGGAGAAAACGCGCAGCGCGGAGCGCTGCCTCGAAACCACCCGGGGCAAAAAAAACCCGCGCAGCGCCTCTTGCTCGGGTTTCCAGGGCCTTTTTTTTTGAGCTACGTTTCCCGTTGCCGGTCCCGGGTCAGCCAAGCATACCACTACTATGCCCTTGCTCCCTGCCCTAATACCACTGCCACCTCTTGCCATCTGCCACCACATCCACTACCATCTCCAAATACACCATCCACCATCCTACTCATTAAAGCCACCATCAATCCATCAATCCCAAGATCTCAAGTTCATCCAATATCAAAGTTTTATCAAAACATCGATTTCCAATTACAATTTCCGTAAGCCCGTGGACACATGGTCCAAACATCTTCAAAACCTCCATTATAGGTCAAAAGGTTTGTATTCCCATTCATCATCCCCTTCATCGACTAGTTGTTGACCAATTGTTTTTTATCAATCTCCTTCTATTATAGATATATCTCCTGCAAGTTCTATCTACTATCTCGATTCATCGCCTTCTATTTACTATCTCAATTCATCTCCTTCAATTTCTATTTACTATCTCGATCCATCTCCTTCAAGTTCTATCTACTATCTCAACCCATCTTCTATCTACTATCTCGATCCATCTATCAATTTCATCTCAATCATTTATACCTTTTATTTGAAACATCCAACATGTTAAACAAACAACCAACTCTTGAGTTGTTCTTAACTTCTGGATACGAAACAGACAACACATCTGCTCCTCCTTGTCGCTCATCACGCACAGTCACCCCAGCGAGACAAGCCCCTGGGATGATCACCCCTAGTTCCGACTCTTGACGCGCCCTAGAAGACATCAATGGAGGTGTCAGGGATGTACAGGATGGCCATGTGCATCGTCACTGTGAAGGATCAGCTTCTTTACCTGGAATTGATATCAATCACGATTGTGAACCAATCCGTGGTCAATCAAAGATGGTATCACAATCATCTTCCACTGTAAGTGACTCTTAGTCTTGTTTTTGTGCTCATCTCAACTCACCTATTATATTATTTTTATTATATTATTTATCTCTTACAGGCCCCCAGTACTGGTACCTCTACTTCTACTCGAGGACGTCCTGGCTTTGCACGAGTTCCTGCAATTTGAAACCCTGTGAACAATGTGGTCCGGTCAACCAGGGAATCTTCAAGGGCCCTGTTGATCAAACCAGCTATTGAAGTAAGTGATTTTCTTATTTGATCTGTGTCGGTTTATGTGAAACTGATCACGGGATATGTCATTAGGTTACATCCGGACCTCCCTCAGTGGACCTGGTACAGGACTCTGACGAAGATAACAATCGGATCCGTAAGAGAAAGAGGAACACACCTGATCCCGAACAATTTGACTGTCCGTTCAATTATTTTGGGCCACCCTTTCACTGTCCAGTAAAAAAGGATGTAAGTGTTTTTCATTGACTTGGCCTCTATTCTTTTAGCTTTTCTTATCACTGGCTGACATCAAATACCTGTAGCCACTTGATGAACCACCACTCTCATGGCCTTGTTTGCATTGCAAAAAAGATGTTTGAGTGAGCACTAGCTTGCATCAATCTAACCTCAAGGCGCACCGAGACGGTCACAAGCAAGCAGGTAAGTCTGGATCTGGGTGTCCACATCGCCGGCAAGCAATCGAGGCAGGAGCAAAGCTACCTCCTACCAAACAGCCTTCTCTTACGGCCTTTGTCAACACGGCTCCCGCTTTCGGCAACAAGACCCTCAATCAATGTCTTGCCGTGTGGCAAGTGTCACACGCGTTGCCCTTCTTGCGAATCGAGGATCCTATACTCAAGTCGATCATCTACTGGCTTCAGCCAGATGCACGCGTGTTTGGACGCAAATGGTCAGCAGATGAGGCCAAACATCTCTACATCTCACTCAGAGATCTGGTTATAGAAAAAGAACTCAAAGTATTTACATTCCATATCTATCTATTTTTAAATCTCTGCTTTTACGCTGTCCTTGTAATTTCTCCTTGACTGACACTTTGTATTTTAGAATGTTCAAAGGAATTAAATAGCAAATTTTGTTTGATTCAAGACGTCTGGACGGTTAAAGGAAACTTACATGCTTTTATTGGAGCTTCAAACTCCTACATCAAGGACGACTGGTTGTATGTTGTTTGGCATCTTAGTTTGAAGGTTGTGGCATGGCATCACCAAGGTCATTTACTTGCTGAGCCAATGGTGGCCATTCTAAAGAAGAATGATCTTTATCAAAAGATGAGTCTGCTCTTTCAATTTTCCTTTATTTCATTCTTTTTACTTTTCTTGGCTTTCCGATGCTGACATTAACTGTGATTTTCTTACATGCTTGCTAGTGTATCTGATTCTGGAAGTAACAACTTCACTATGGGACGAGAGTTGCATCGGCAGCTTAAGGAAGAGGGTTTGAACTCTGGGCATAATCTTGAATGGGAACCGGAACCGATGTCAATACGATGTTTCTGCCACAAGATGGGGCTTATTGTCAAGGCGGGTATTGATGCCCTTGGGATGAAGCCACGACGAGTTTGACACAACACTTTAGGCCGATGTGGTAATCAAAATATGAGACCAATCAAAAAATCAAAAAAAATCGAATTTTGAATTACATCAATTATATTACATATAGTTTAATATTTACATCATTTTATCATTTAAACAAACTTATCAAGATCAGTATAAACTATTAACAAACAGATTACAAAAAGAAAGAAAGAAAAAAACATAAGAAAAACTCGAAAATAGAGGTACACAGGTTGGAAATGGTTTTTAGGGTAGTAATATTAGGTTTATGGGTTTAGTAGGGTTAGAATACGAAAGAGGAGCATTATGTTATTCAGTAACAACTTTAATCATGATGGTTTATAAGATAAGATAGAAGTTATTGAGGAAATGGAAAAAAGTCGAAATTGGTAAACAAGGGTTTACAGGTAGTTTTACATATGTAGCAGTGGTATTAGTAATGAATAAGGTTGCAAAGGGTGTTTTTAGGGATTTTCACGGTTGGAGATTACTGTTTAATGTTACAGAAGGAAAGAAAGGCTTAGTAAAAGGTGTGAAAAGTGAAGAAAATAGGTGAAAATCGTCGAAAATGAAGGTTTTCAGCTGATTACATGTGTCAAATGACGTCAGAACATGATGAGTAATAGTTCATTCGACGCAGAATCATCAAATTCATAATGTACAATCTTTAAATCATTAGTAACAGAGGTTTATGGCAAAATTTATAAGGAATCAAAGGATTTGATTACACATCAACAAGATCACAAATCATTAATAACTAGCAATTACATCATTGAAATGCTGAATCATCATAAGATCAAATTAATATTCATTCTAGAACATTCAGAACACAGCATATACACAGCATATACACAGCATTTGATCATAAGAATAGAGATTAGTCATGTTTTACTGGTCAAATTAGTAATAAATCTCATCAGATGATGAATAGAAGATCACATTACATCATAATAATGATCATAATGGGTTGATGAGGTACTGATGGCGAAATTTAGGAATGCAGAGAGTGGTTGAATCATTAGATCATAGCTGTTTACCAACATTTTAGTCATCTTTTGGTTTTTTTAGATGGTAAAGAGGATTTTTTAAGAGCTGTTTACCACTTTAACAATTTTTATTGATGTGTTTATAAACTTGTGTCTTTTGTGCGAAATTATGTTTCCTTTCTTCTTCATCTCTTACATAGCATTAATCATTTTTATTATTATAAACTTATTAGAGCAGTACTAGGTCACTCAAATCAGCCCTTCATCAGAAGAGAAATTTGTTTTATGTGCTTTATATGACACTGTCATTCTGGAATAATATCAAAAAGATATTGAGCTTATTTTTCAACATTTTGACTTGACTGGAATAACACTTTAAATGTGTTGAGCTTATTTCTCTGGTGCTTTTTATCAAGATACTTTTCTCTTATTATCAAAGACCTGGTTATATTTCTCTGTTATCAGGAGACTTTAACAACAAAGTCCAGTTTGTTAAAGATTCTCAGAAAGAGCAGTCTCAGACACCTTCTTTAGATCTATTATATCTTCAGATTATCCTCTTTCAAAGCACTGTATAGCCCTTGTTGTGCTATAAGTACTACACCAATTTCCCCCAATTGGTGTGATGGCTATCATTGATGAAGAAGTGGAGGAATTTGTGGAGGAGTCTGATGATGTCTTCCAGGATGACAGTGGTGACGATGACGTAATTAGTAATCCCAGCAGTGATTCGGATCAATCAAGGTCCGGCTCCGAACGAGATCAAGGCTCTGACTTTGAAGACGTGGAACAACAAGACGAACCTCAAGTCTACCAAAACCGCAAGAAGGCTTATCTCCTTGGTGATACTTATATGAAGCAACTTACTAATGATGTAAGTGCTATCTCATCGACTCCATTTACTTAGTCTGGTGTGTAAATAACTAATCTTCTGTTCATTTTACTCAGATAGACATGGTCAATAAAAAACTCACTTGCTCAAGTGGTCACCGGGCGGATTTTGATTGACGCCGAATAAGAGCCAACCTTCAATGTCAGCAAGACAAATTACCGAAGCTCAAGGCACTTTTATCTGGCCATGGTATTCAATGGGGTATAAGGGCTGAGCGCTTGGAAAGGATGTGGGCTGCTTGCGCTGTAAGTCATCTGTTCACTTTACTTGTCATTTTAATTTGTTTCTAAGTATAATACTATTACTAACCAATCTTCCCCATTTCCCATTTCAGGTCATTGATGGAGTCATGAGGGAGGATCTGGCTGAGGTAACCACCAAGAAACGTCGGCCAAAGAAGGATGGTAAGGCCCATGGGTATTTTGAGGGCGTAGTATTCTCCGTGGCCGATTGGCAAGCGATGAGAGACCTTTTAGATGTACTCACAGTACGTATCTCTTGCTTTTTCTCAATCATGGTTCAATAGTTTTTCTTACTACCTTCATCTTGTTCAATTCTATTTTGTTCATCTTTTTGACTTCCAGCCGTACAAGTACTTAACTCGAGACATGGAAGCAAACAAACCTACTGGCTGTATGGTTTTAGTAAAGTATTTTCAACTCAAGACCTCCATGGAGGAACGTCTAAAGAAGATGCACGCAAAAGATCCACTTTACCCAATGGTTGATATCATGATCAATAAGATCATCAGCTATCTGAACAAGGCACTCGAATGCGAAACTTTAGTTTTAGCAGCTGTCTTCCACCCCGGTCTAAGGGTTAAGTTTTTCTCTCATGTGTTTGGAATGGGCGGCGTTGGAAACAATTGGGCCAAAGAGTTACTCACATTGGTTTATAACAAGAAGCGTGATGAACTTGATCTCCAAAACCAGCCAGTCACCACCTCTCCGCAATCCGAATCCCCTGCTGATGATGAAATTGGAGGTCAATTGTTACACTTTTACAACAATGCCGTGGCCTCAAGCGAACTGAACAAACATGAGCGATACCTTCAAGGTGTTGATCCAATGGTCACTTGTGATGTGAAAAATCCACAATATGTGTTGGATTGGTGGGAGGTAAGTCTTCATATCCTAGATCATTACTTTCTATTACTGATGATTTATGTGTTTCCAGGCAAATGCTGGTAAATATCCGGTCTTATCGGTATTGGCTTGAGATTACCTCGCCACGCCTGCAGCTTCGGCTGCACCCAAACGATCTTTTTCTATTGCTGGTCAGGTTTGTACAGCAGCAAGAGGTGGCCTTGTTCCTTGCATGATCCAGATGACTGTCAGCAGCCAATTGTGGATCTTGGAAAATGTCCCTTTGAAGGGTGATTTTGCTGGAGTTGGGAATTTATTGAGTATGCAAAGAAGATGGTTCAGAAGAAAACTCGCCAGTCTTATCATAAATAGTTTCTAATTGTCTTTTCCTTTTTTGTTTTTTTTTCTCTCTATCACTTTTTCTTTACACTCGTTTAGAGCTTACATACTTTTTAATCTTTCATTATGGTGTTTACCACATATATGTTTGTTCTTTTTCACCTGGTTGAGAAATTTTAAAAAAACGTTTTTTTTTCGCTCGCAGCGCTGTGAAACTGTCAACCTGAGAGGCTTTTGCGGAGCAAAACCTCCAAGGTATGCACAAAAAAACCTAAGCACCTAAAAACAAAAAACTAATAAAAATTTAATTACAACTCTATCACTCAGTTTCAAGAGTGTAAAACAATAATAAACTCGTCTAGACGACGACAATGATTCCATCTCTTGCCAAGGATCCAGATAACATTACCCTGGCCAGGAAGTCCTTTCTTTTCATCGAACCCTGATAGTCACTTCAAAAAATAACTAGAACCCGTACCAAAAACTACTTTGGTACTAATTCAATTATTATATATTAGAAACACTCTACTCAGGGTTCAGTAACCAAAACAACCTGACCAAGTAAGAGAAACTAGAAAGGGCTGCTTCGTTACAAACCAGCAATAGAACCTGATTAGCTTATCACGAATTCATGATAACAAGGCAGGGTTATAATGACATCACTAGGCAAGTTTTTACCTTTGTTATATAAAGACATCGTATCCTCTAAGAGTAAAAGAGAATGATCCTTTACGAATAACATCTTTTTACACAACCAACAATTAACTTCCTAAAAGCATTTTCACTATTCTAAAAACCTTTTTCGAATCAACCCTTTTTTCTTAAAAACTCAACTCGCTTAGATTTGTATCCTTTCTGCGTTGAATCCTTATTGATTAGAATTCTCGCTCTAAATACCCTTCTCAGCAAGTTATCCGTTTCCTCCTTTTCTATTTTAAGTCGCAAGCGTTAAAGATCGTCTGGCTTCAGTAAGCCAATTCGACTAAAGTCTTCTGCAAAACTACCTTTTGATTTACCGACGATCAACCAACACTGAAGTGTGGCCTAAAGTACAGATTGCTGAAAACTTCGTTTTAAGCTTTCACTTTAGAAGACGTTCGAGAGTACAGCACCTCGATCAGTGACTGGCAGCGGTAAACATCCCGCACCAAAGGCAACCACAGAAAACAACTGTGGATATTTCTCTTTACTAAGAATCGAAAACCAAACCTCGAAGAAAATCTTTGAAGATTATCTCTAACGAGGTCTACATTTAGTAAGTTGCTTATCAGCTCACGCCTATTAGTAACCTTAGGCTGACAGAAACGCTGCGATATTGAGCAGCGTTTTGAGCTACTTTTTTGCCCAAAAACTTGGCCACGGTGACACTAAAGCTACTTGAGTTTTGGCCTCCCAAAAATCGTTACGCAGCTGGATTCGAGCCTGGCAGCGCTGCGAGCCAGGCTTGATGTCTTGAAGAATTACACAGACTATCACCAATCACTTTTGTATGACTCGATAACCCCTTATAAAAATGGTGATAGACTTTATTTCTTCAACTAAACAATTCTGCATCAATGTCCACACAAGAGAAATCCAAATGTCGTTTTACTCTCCTATAAAACACCCCAAGGAATGCTTTTCGCCGGACTCATATTTTCTATCGCTACTCAACAATAACACATCTGGAAAACAAACTCATCATTGAATTTAATTTCAGCTACTAAAAATAATATAACTAACCACAACAACGCCTTTCAAGCACGTCCCTCGAAGTCATTCGTTCTCACCAAAATTTTGAGCAACAAAAGATTCAGAAGCTTGGTGACAAGCTCTGTTGATTTGCGAGAGTGTGAACCTGCAAAAGAACGACAGCAGTGAGGTTTGAACTCACGCTCACATAGTGAAACAGCTGATGTTTTCCAACCTTGTTGGGCATTCAAAACTGTCGCCTTAACCACTGGCCATGCTGTCTGTGCCCATGGATCCCCATAACGTTTCACAATGGATGGTATATTACAGAGCCGTAATTTGACTTCTGTGTATGTAGTTTTTGTTCCAGAGGTATTTTGCACGATGTACATCAAAGAGGACTAGGTATGGTCTCATGCAATTGGCTTATTTAAGTGTGAATTTTTATATATCCACTCGAGGTTTGCCTGAGAAGGTAGGAAGGTGTGTTGGTGCTGAAGTCAAATCTTTGACAAGAATTTTGAAATCATGATTCCGTCGAGTCTTGTTTGTTATTTGACCATCACTTGGACGAGGAAGTAATGATACGAGCTCGAGTATGAATTAGATTGCTATCAGAGGAGATCAGACTAAGAGGCCCTAAGCATCAACTTGCACAATTTCAACTCTTCATTCACTCTCTGAGCTGTCTTCAAAGAGAGCTGAATCAACTTTTGAAAAGTTCATCTCGTAGCGATGGATGGTACTCTGGTGAATTATATCTTGATATTCAGCAGATTAGAGCCTATATATGTCGACTAGAAGGAGATGTATTTCAAAATGATTTTCGTGTGGAAGGCAAAAAACAATGAGATGAGGAAATGCAGTGGCTACATACGGCAGGGGTACCGAGGACCGCATACATACCGGCCTCGATCCGGTCCATAAGTAGTTGAGACTTGAGAACCCGTCAGCGACCAAGTGGTTGTAAGCCTTCCAGAATCCGCTCACCACTTTCCTTCGCCGTGCAACTTCCAGACTTTAGTTGAACAGCTTCAAAGTGATTAACAATCAAATTGTCGCCAGTTGACCTCAACCACTATATATCATGTCAAATCCTGTCGCCGGTCCATCTATTCCATCTCACCAAATGACTTCGTCGAACAATAAACCTAATAACGACCAATCAGACTCAGACGATGACTTTATGCCCGAACTTCCACCCGAATTTAAGGCTTTAGATAAACCGATTGGACCGATTGGACCCAGTCTACCACCGGGATTTGATAGGTCTTCTCAAAATACCAAGCATGATGAAGATAGCGAGGAAGATGACGGGGTCACAGGTCCTATGCCATTACCATCATATCTTATACAACATAATGACGAAACAGAAGGAGTTCGTGCACTTCGAGAACGCGAAGAAAGACAAGCTGAAAAGGATCGGATAGAAAGGGAAAGCAAGGTTTTGAAACGTGAAGAATGGATGCTTGTACCACCTAAGGAGTTAGACCTCCCTGCTTGTCAGTTCATCATTATCATGAATCATGTTTACGTGCCATTGAAAGCTCAAGAGAAGTGACTTCAAATTGATACTCTGTCTGATTTTTTTGGCGCCCATGGAATCTCGAGGATATTTCATCAACTTTTAGCCATCGATCCCACAAAAATCAAATCTCGAGGGTTCAAGCAAACTTCTAAACCGCATTCAGGTACAGTTGAAAGACAGGGTGGTACTGGTTCTTTATGGACTGAAACACCTGTGGAGAGGACCCAACGGTTAGAGGATGAAGCAATGGGAAAACTAGAAGGGCAGAAGACGTCGCCAAAGGTATGGATGATGATGAC